ACAGTTTGGGGAATATAACCAATAATGTAAAAATTGTGTAGGGTGTCAAATGGGTACTTGTCTTATTAGGGAGACCACTTCATGAACGGTGTAGATGCCTGACTACTGCAGTGTACACCTGAAGCTGAATAATACTGAATGTCAACTATAATTTAATATATGTATAGTCACAGGATGTGGAGTACAGCATAGGGAACAGAGTCAATGGAATTGTAACAGCTTTATATGATGTCAGAGGGGTAGTAGATTGGAGGAGGAGGGTTATCGCTTTGTGAGGGGTGTAAATGTCTAACTATTACATTGTTTTGTACACCTGAAACTAAAAAAAAAAAAGAAAGATAATCCCTATAATGTCACCCTCCCTACTTTGCATTCCTCTGGGAGTTGGTGACAGCTATGCACAGCGAGTAGTGCACACCACATGGACCACACTGTTTGTACCACATCTGTCATCTGGGGCTGCTCAGAGGAGTGTGTCTCACAAATGATTGTCACCCTTCAAGTGTGTCCCCACAGATCAAGAAAAGACTGTTGTGTTAGGGGGTCTCTAAGGCCTCTTCCAAGGTCCACTTGTTCTAGGAGCTTCCTATTCTCCTCTCTGTGCCCCAGAGTTGGGCTTGGGAGGACTGATTTTACAAAGCAGGTCATTCTGCTTTGGGAGAAGGGACTTAAAAGGAAGTAGGGAGTAGGGAGGTATTGGGTCTGCACAGCAGCCATGATCACCAGCTCTAGTGCACATATCCCAGCAAGGCCAAGTGAGTGCAGCTCGGTAAAGACATAGTGAGCCCTCACTCTGTGCCCTGCAGTGTGCCAGGTATGGGACCCCCGGGGTGGCGAAGACATGACCTCAGCTTATCATCCAGTGCAAGCTGCATTGTCAACTAAGGACAATGGCATTCAGAGTATGATACAAGGTCTCATTGGAGGTGGGGGCCAAGCTGTGGGGAATCAAAGCAAGGTCATGGAGTAGATGCTAATCAATTTGGATTCCATTGGATGGATAGGATTCCCAAAAACAGGCTGGAAGAACTAAAGGTCTGGGGACACCATGGGATGAGGCCCAGAGGTGGGAGAGCCTTCGTGGATGGGTGTCAGACAAGTGTGGGTTGGCGAAAGGGAAAATGAACTGGGAGTGATGGGAAGGGGCTGCACTGTCCCAGGCCTGGCAGCCATACTGAGAGCTCAGGCTTGATCCCAGGACAGGTGGAAACTGTAGAGGGGAGACATGAGGAGGACCCGTCTGGTCAAGAGCTTTGAGAGAGGTTCAGGAGAGGGAATCCAGAGGACTCGGTGATTTATTGGATGAAGGCAGGGCTAGGGCAGATGGTGGGATGTTAGCGGTGAGAAGAGGCGGGTGGAGGAACTGGGCACATTTGCGGGCGGCTGGCTAGCTGGTGGATCCAAGACTCCTTCTCCCCACCCTTTCCTAGGTATTCAGCGACATCGGCGCGGTCCAGAGCTTGAAACGCCTGGTTTCCTACTCCACCAATGGCACCACCTCGGCTCTGGCCAAGCGCACATTGCGCCTGCTGCGCGAAGATGTGCCGCGGCGCATCCTGCCCTGCGTGCCCAGCTGGAAGGAGGCTGAGGTCCAAATGTGGCTGCAGCAGATCGGCTTCTCTCAGTACTGCAGGCGTTTCTGTGTAAGGCCCGCAGAGCTGTCTCCCTTGGGGCGGGAGCCGGCCCCACCCCGAGGGCGCACTGCCGCTAGGGGCGCCCTGCACAAAGGCGACTGTGACTGGTCCCAGCCTGCACGCCCGCGGCTCCAGGGTGGCCTTTTGGGGGTGGAGTGCCTGTACTCAGCCACCTTTATGGTCACTCAACTCTAATCTGGGTCCCATCCGCCTTCCCCCGCCGCCGTCTCCGGTTCCCTCCCCTTGCATCTTGTGCTTGGGGTCCAGGGCTGAGGAAGGGACCCTTCCTCCTTCCTTACCTCTTATCCCCCGCCCAGGAGCGGCAGGTAGATGGCGACTTGCTTCTGCGCCTCACGGACGAGGAACTCCAGACCGACCTGGGCATGAAATCGAGCATCATCCGCAAGAGGTACGGAGCCTCCTGCCCGCCCGTGCCACGCCGGGTCTAACTACACACCCCCTCGGCCACTAGCCAGTCCCAAGTCAGGACCTCAGCGTCCTCTCCGCCTTTGGGTGCAGATTCTTTAGGGAGCTCACGGAGCTCAAGACCTTCGCCAACTACGCTACGTGCGACCGCAGCAACCTGGCTGACTGGCTGGGCAGCCTGGACCCGCGCTTCCGTCAGTACACGTATGGCCTGGTCAGCTGCGGCCTGGACCGCTCCCTGCTGCACCGCGTGTCAGAGGAGCAGCTCCTGGAGGACTGCGGGATCCGCCTGGGCGTGCATCGCGCCCGCATCCTCACTGCCGCCAGAGGTCAGCCTGCTCACGTGGGACCCTGCCCCTGCCCCTGTGCCCCTGCTCCAATCCCAGCTCCCGAAGGGCTAGGGGAGACACATTGCGGTGGGGCCTCAGAGCTTCACTGCAGATTGATTGAGCACGTGCTGTGCCAGACTACGTTCTGAGGATGCAAAGATGAATATGTTGCATTTTGCCCTCAAGAAGTTCCCATTCTGAGGTGGGTAGGAGGGTGGGAGTAAGGCAGGTATGTAAACAGGCAGGTAGGTGATCACAGCAGGAGGCATGCTTAGGACTTCATGGGGAGCTCAGAGGAAGCACTACCTACCCTGTTTACCCAGGTCTAGGCTTTGGCGAGGAGGGGTTGCCTAATCAGGTCTTGAAAGATGTGTGAGGGTGAAGGGGAATAGGGGGAGGAGGGAGGCTGGTGGCAGCAGGATGAGCAGTGAGGCAGAGGGAGCAGAGGTGAGACAAAGGATGGATGGTTCATACATGGCATGTGGGTGGGAAGGCAGGGGGTTTATCCTATTAGCCAACAGCTTACAAA